TCGAAAACAATCAATCTCTGCATAGTCCTTGAGTATGTAAGTACCAAGTTTCATTGAAATGTAATGCTAACTACTTATATCAAATGCTGAAAATTAATTAATTATGCAAATTAGGTAATTAATATGTACTGATATTACCATAAAAACTATCAGGTCTGTGCAGTGTCGTATGACATCTATGTACCAAGTTTCATTGAAATGTGATGATTAGTACTTGAGATATCAGTGGAAAAACCGAAAATTGACTAATCATTATGCAAATTAGGTAATTAGTATCCACGGATTATTACCAAAAACTAATCAAAACCTAGCATTAGTTCAGAGCATCTATGTACCAAGTTTCATCAAAATCCAATGAGTGGTTGTTTAGATATCAGTGGAACAGTCATGGAACCACTAAAAAATAGCTAATTATCATGCAAATTAGGTAATTAATATGCACGGATTTTTACCAAAAATTAATCAAATCTGCGCATATGTTCAGAGCATCTATGTACCAAGTTTCATCAAAATCCAATGAGTGGTTCTTTAGATATCAGTGGAACAGTCATAGAACAGCTAAAAATTAGCTAATTATCATGCAAATTAGGTAATTAACGAGCATGGATTTTTACCAAAACCTAATCAAATCTGCGCATTGGCCCAGAGCATCTATGCACCAAGTTTCATCAAAAACCGATGTATGGTTCTTGAGATAGCAGTGGAACAGTCGGACACACATACACACATACACACATACAGACACACTAACTGCAAAGACTCCCATTTTGTGCTTCGCACATGGGAGTCAAAAATGGGACTTTTAAGGTGTATTTTGGCGTCATTTTTCGGACATTTCAATCATTCCTGCCGGCTAAAATAGAGTCTAAGTTTTACCGTAGTCATTGACGTCTATTCAAGAGTACACGTGTATGATTTTTATCGTGACTAGCGTGAGCGGGTAAGCTTCCTTTCGAGAATGAGCTGTTATCACTGTGAACAATGTTAAATTATTCTTCAGATGCCCAGTTTATTTTTTAAAAACAACTAATTTTTTTATTTAAAAAAAATCATGCCGTTTTCGCATCAAAATCTAAGCCAAAAGATCGTACTACAACATCAATCTCTTCCGCATTGCGTTCAATAACATTAACATATTTAAATAAGCTATGATAATTTAAACACGTTGGCATCATCCAGCTTTCTGATTGGTTAATTAGCGATTTTACCTATTTGACCTAAAAGAACATGGTGGATATCCTACAGCATCAAACATTTATACGAGACCGGAATCATTCGCTTACGACGAAACTAAGTTGACTTTTATTTGTATTTCATAACAATTCAACGAATTTATTTTGTGTACATTATTATAATCACTACTGAGTAATAATCAACAATTCAGAAATGCAGCATGCCAAGATTTTTGTGTTCGTTTTTATTTGAAACTTCGTTTCTTTAGAATATATTTTCGTTACCAATAAAAAAAAATCTCTCAGTCAATCAGAAACCCAGATTCATACCTTCGGGGAAAGTCCCGTTTGAACGCTCACATCGTTTGTTTTTTTTCGTTTTGGGGAAAACCAAAACTGGTCGCAATTTTCGAATAAGAATGAGTCGTCAATTTTTAATGGAGTCAAAAATTTGGAGGTAAATAAAATACCGAAACCCGGCAAATAATTAAGTGTCCGAATTTTTAGAGGGGGGCGAATTTTGGGAGTTTTTACGGTATCTCCAGTGATCAGTCAAGTAGAAACAGTCAAAATATTTTATCAGATTTTCTCAATTTTTGCATGATATTTTCATAAAGGACATCTGTTGTTCAAACTCAGGGAAGACTTTATACTGATGAATAAGGTGACCAAGTTTGATAAAGTTTGGAATAGAATTAGTAAAGTTTAGAATTAGTAACGACAACGCCAGACAAAATTTTTCCCTTAATATACCTTTCCCTTCCATCTTTGATGGTACGGGCAAGGCAAAAAATAATAAAACAAATATGGAAACTTCACCATATGTACATAAGAACAAAATTTTAAATACCTTAAAGGCCTTCGCGAAGCACCATGGACATTTTGGAGGCATGGCTAATCAAATTCAGGGTGTTAACTGTCTTTTCCAATGTTCAAGTAATCATAAATTTGGCATGCAATCAGTACTATGATGTGGATGGGTTTTAGATATGTATGTTTATTCATAAACCATAGAAAGTCCTTTTCCTAAGGTTTACCGTTCATTTATTTATTTATTAGTAAATGTATTGTCAGAAGGTGTTCTGTTTAGGGGTGTTTTGTTCTACACTCTGTAACTAAAGAAATGACAATAACATTTAGAATGCACTGCACACTTTTAATCAAGAAACTTGTACGAATTGTATATTAAAAAAAAATCAAACGAAAATGACATTGAGAATTTTTACAAAGGAAGAAGGAAGTGATTTATTTTCAATCAATATGTCTGTTTCATTTCCATCACATCCTGCCGAACTGTATTACTATCAGACGATGACTTCAGTCAAAGCGCCAAGCTCCGTATACCAAGGAGCAACAGCGATATATACAATGCATGGTCTTTGTTTTATTAGAAGGGCAAAGGCTAACAGTTAGTGACCTGGAAATGCCATTACCACAGTGCATGTCTTCAGGAAACCATAAACCCTACTATAGATTGTATGGTCTATATATTTAACATATTTTAAGCTAAAGCTATAACACTAACAGAGTGGTTCGTTATCTCTATATAGCTAGACTTTAGAAAACAGCTCCATAGAAGTATAATGCATGTGTGAAAGTTCACAAAAAGTCACTGTGACTTCCTGTCTCAAGGACATATTCACTGCTACAATATTTAGCAGTTTTCTCTGTATACACAAAAAATAGACCATTTTCAATTTACTGCAAAATCCAAAGTTATGCATGAAATCGAACGTAACATAATGACAAAGATTCAACAAATGCAAAAGTAATTTTTTGGTATTTCCTAACATAATAATAAACTATAAACATTTCATGATTGTCAATTTTGATGAAGTAAGAGTATCTTAACATGGCGTTCCCCTCTGAATTATCTACATTTCAACAATGAGATATAAAAAAAGAAATTCATGTTCAAAATCAAATTTTTGTGGCGGATGTCTGGCCCTATGCCTTTTTCACAATATGCAAGATGCCGCAGTGAACTGAAATTACCAATGGTAAATTACGTTACCTGATGCGGCTTAGCCTCCATGTCTTCCATAACTAGGTTCTCTATTCCGGAATTAGCCTGGTACCAATCCATGTTACTGTTCATCATTACATCATCAGGATTGGCTAGCAGGAATGTATAAGCAGCAGATGCAGCCTTTTCCATTTGGTCAGTCTAGGTAAATAGATACAACATACATTTACTTACAATTGATATTTGCAACAAAAAATAATAGTCACAGCAGAAGTACTCAACACATTGCTTGCTGAAAGCTCCACAAGCATACCAAAATAAACTGGTAAAAAGTTAGCAGACAGTGTGTTAAAATTGGGTTTCTAACAGGGAAAAATTAAAAGATAAACAATAATAATAATTTATAGAAGTTGATTCAGTCAGTCATAGCCTTCTTATTGATTTACTGACACAACGTCATATCATTCCTGAGTTCTCACCTGCTACACACCAAAATACACCAACAAAACTATGATTTGAATATTCATGATTGAGTAATTTTCATAACTAATCAGCAATTAATTTAGAACGAAAAAATGGAATGTCTGCTTGTCTACTCTATTCTACAATGTTTTACCAAGGTTTTCTTGTAGTAACCATCAGGTTCCATAAAAAAGGCATTCCTTAATCTTCATAAATATTTATAAATTTCAATAGCAGTTGAATCAAAAAGCATAGTGCACAACCATGTCAATTGAAAACGTTTCAATGTATTGAATCAGCCAACAGAAACCCCCTATTTCAATTAGAATTGTGAAATTTATAAATATAAATTATAAAAATGAAGGGAATGCCTTTGGTGAGCCAAAAGTATTATAGTAACTTTTTCTGAAACTATAACAGATAAAGTTTGAAAAATAATTACTGTTTTATTAATTCTTTTTTAATGGTTTGGAATTACTAGATTTCAATTCGCCATCATGTTAAAGTTGTTTAGGCTTATCTTATCTTATAATTAATTGAATTGTGAAATGTATATTTTATCCCAGGTGAAAGTGATTAACCATATGTTCTATATTAATATTTTTTTTAAACCTTGTTATTGATTAATTGCAATTTATTGCAGCCTTCCTTTTTCATTCCCTTAAATTACGTTATGAAATTTATAAACACAGTGTGTGACATTACTGTTTTTGTTACTTTATATTTTATTCATAGTTTATGTATTTTGGGCCACAGGCCTTTGATTGCAATAAAGACCATCACATATTAATAAGTCACATTTTAATGATCAAGCATACAATAAAGCAACTGTTTACATGGGCTACTAAAGTAGCAAACACTTTTCTAAACAAGACACTCAAGGTTGGCTGCGCCGTAATTAAATGACTTCTGTCACACACAGGGGTCTGTTACATCCAGAAGGTTACTACCAGAAGGACAGAACGTCCAGTACTCAAGAATGTCATGCTTTCTCAATACATAAATAGCTAGATATTGGATGCACATGTAACATTCTCTAGAAAATTGATCACTACACCTTTCTGGCTGATTGGCTGTGAATAAGTCATTTACAGTTTAATGAATTATTTGTTTGATGTCATGGTATGTATATATTCCAAAGGAATGTCTACCTTGGAAATTGACTCTCTCTGAAGAATTATTTGCCACGTCTTGCTTCCGGTTCGGATCAGGTTTCAAAGAGTCCACGCGATCAAAAAAGCGAACCTTGTAGCCATTTTGCTTGAATCAGACATCAGTAGACATTTAGGAACACATTTGCACATTTACACAAGTTATAGCTTACCTTATAATATGCCATTTGCAGATAACTGTAAGGAACGTTGAGCACGAAGTCATTGGTGATTTCTTGACTGATTCGCTCAGGTCTATGACCCAAATACTTGTCCTTGCATCTCGTCAAACATTCTGCTTTTCTCAGAACGCGATCGAAGAAAAAAAGATCATCGAATTGTTCTAAATAGCCGTCTTCAAACTGACTGGTAACATTGTTGCACCTCAGACGGCAAGTTGCCAGACTAGAGCGATAGAATTTAAATTCGGCGATAGCTTTTTCTAAACTGTCGATGGTCCCATACCAGTCTTCTGATGTATACGCCTCGATGCCGCTGTTGTATAACTCGTCGTACGTTTTTGGAATCTCGCCACTGCTTACAATTATTAAAGAAATGTAAGATATCGCAAATACCGACAAAATAGTAGCTAACTGAGCCATGGTTGTAAACAGTATGCACAACCAAGATTCAAGATGAAGACTGGGACCCCGCATGTATGTAAATGAGTTATTTTTGGCTGTTCTTTTTATAAAACTCCCTCCTCCCGTTTCCGACGTATTTCTTCAAGTGGTGGCGCTATATAGCATATCCGTTTTCTTAGAAAACAATACTAGTACTGATCAAGGTGTCTGAGTTACTTCCGTTCACGACATTGTCGTACAAGTCTTCGTTCTAGGTAATCTCACCGCGTTTTGTTCGAACAAATAGTTATCATCCAACCAAATAAATTGATTAGTACCATTATTATAATTTGTTTCCGATTTGTCATCGTTACTTCACTAGAAGTTGTGAAGCTCAGCCGCTGTCAAATCGACAAATCTTTCAATTGAACACAGACCCTCTATCTGCCCCTCTATAGTAGAGGGACTGTGAATTGAACGATTTATTTTTTACCACCGGAGTGAAGGCATAATCTTTGAGGTGTCAGGACGACCCAGCCCTGGTTTGGACGTTCCGGCCCGGGTATAAATTATATTCAATATGTGTTCATATCTAATGTTAATATGTTAAATGCACAACGAATCTATGACTACCTTGTTCACAACTTATTTTTCGTCTTTTGCAGGACATTTGTCGCGATTAAACACCCTGTTTTACACAATGCAACAGATGTTTGTAAATTTACTCGCCGCCGTCTTTGTACTAAACACCGTATGGCCAGAGTGATTGACACTGTGCACATGAACCTGTGCGCCCCGCAGACACAGAATATACATCTGATTCAATCTGTTTCAGTCAGGATTCAAATGCACATTTGTGGCGTATTACGTAATGAATTAAGAACGTTAATCAACAGAGGAAAAGAAAGTTGCAGTTTATGTAGGCAGACAAAATACTATAGTTTTATTGGTCTATCAGTAAATAAACAAATAAACTGTTTCTTTGTACGTTGTGTTTTTGGTTGGACATTTCAATATTTCCTGGCGCTCAAAATAGAGTCTAATTGTTATCGTTTTATCGTACTAATTGACTAGCGTGAATGGGTACGGAAGTACGGAGGCCCATTAAGGCCATGACAAAAATATTAAATCTCTAAATTTCGACTTTTAATCTCAAAATTTCGACTTTAAACCCCAAAAATTCGACTTTCAAACTCGAAATTTTGACTTTCGCTATGCACCTAGTTTTGGAAGCATGTAACATCACGCGTTTGTTTGTTTGTTTGTTTTCAGGGGTGGGTGATACCAAGGTGGAAAATGGATGCACATATGGGGTTAATTCCTGGAATTGCAATAGAGAGGGTTCAGGCTGAAATACAATATATAGTGTTTTCATATTTCGTCTGATATTTCTGTGGTATTCTGCTGTTGTAAATAATACACGATTTGTTTCTAAATTCAGTGTGTTGTGTGCAGTCCAGGGTTATTCGTTTTTTACTGAAAACACCCCTATTTATTAATGGCAGAACCTCCTGGTACTTTGATGTTGATGGTCTATGATAAAACTCAGTCAACATACATCAAGTTCTCTCAATCGTAGTATTTCATGTGATGTACACCTAATATGCCAAAAATGTCGCAGAACGATTTGAACTGGAGAAAATTAGAAAGACGAAAATTTGTTTACAAAATAAAAATAGTTGGATTGCCAATGAAATCAAGCCGGTAGGCTGGTTGGCGATCCGCTCAGCTCTAAAAACAAGCAATATATTATCGGCTGTTGCCAATGTAGGACAGCATTTACATTTCATTCCAAATTCAAAGTTGCGCTGGGATTACTTTGATACAGAGTAACAATGTCGGCGCCGGTGATCTCTTACCGGTGCGCAACGTAGCCAAAATAAAAGGCATGATCATTTAAACACTGCTATCACAAGACTTGTAGGAGGTAATACATTTGGGGCGAAAGTATTCAAAAAACAGTTTCTGGCTGTTGCCATGGTAGCTGTGGACCAGGGTTGTTTTTCCAATTAGTGACGGTACGACCTGCCTGTCAAGTATAAACAAAATTAGCCAGAAAAAATCTCAGAGGAGTTAAAAGCCGTTGCTGTTCAAAAGTTACCCCAATGTTGGGGTCAATTTTCTCGGTAATGAAAATAGGCATACAAAACAGTAAATTGTTGCCCACATTCAAGCTGAGTAGAATGAGCTACGTCCGTGCTTTTTAATCATGAAAATGTAGGGTGTGATACATTTGGCGTGAAGTTATTCAAAAAATCAGTTTTTGGCTGTTGCCATGGAAACAGTGGTCAGAATTTGTTTTCAGATTTTACAAATATTAACTTTGTGCCCACACTCAAGCTGAGTAGAATGAGCTATGTCTGAGGTGTTGTATCCTATATTTGTAGCAGGAAATAATTCAGTGCGAAGCTATCCAAAAATCATTGTTTTGGCTGTTGCTATGGCAACGGTGGGCACAATTTTTGACATACCTGCTAAGTTTGAGCGAAATCGGCCAAGCCCAAAAAAACAGAAGAATTTATACGTGAAAACAATGGAAATCACACACAGACACGCAACAGAGATTTTAAGGGCAATCGTAGTGGAGTGGATCGCCAATACCATGCTCATTTGCATATTGACCGTGAAAATACCAAAAGCATTATTGCATTGGTGATATGCAAATAAGTTTTAGTCAAACTAAGTGACTGCCTAGAAGTTCCATTATTGTTCTTCACATTTCATTTCACTCAGCAAGTATATTCATGTACCCAAGGGTAAAATATCGTACTTCTAAATATTGTTTATTTCTGCTATGTTTCGAAAAACGCTACTCTTGAAAGGACTACTTTGTTTGCTCCCAGACCTCCTTTGCGTATGTGTGGTGTGGTAATACCGACTTCGATTTCAGGGACGAATCAAAATAAACTGCAGTACATATGTAATAATGCGGAATACATTTTCAATGTAAACATTTTTCTGCTAAAATAAATTCCAGTGAAAATTTCCCTCATACTCTATTGAGACTTGACTATGCACAGTGAAAATTGGATTCACACGTAATGCTTGAAAAGTTTTCATCGAAAATAAATTAAGTGAAATTCTACATGACTTCATGAGAGTTGGAAATGAACAAATTATATAAAACCCAACCCTACCACTCCATACACAATGTAAACTACACCCCAAAAACATCCTTTCACCAGTGTATTCTATTTGACTTCAGGAGAAATTGAAATAAACAAATTATATGGCAACGAACTTAATAACAATTTCAGCTGAGCCTCTAGTTCAGCGTTGATTAAATAAAATACCTCGTTATGCCAACTTGACGTTATTCAATGCCTACATCAGTGACTTCAAAGTCTAAGTTTCAATCCCAGGAATTTCCTTTTCTATTAATTGCATGGCAGTGCCAGTCTTTTATTTTCTATTGTAATGTCAATTTCTTGCGATTACTCGGAACATGAAGCTGTAACCACAGACTGTGGAAGCCAGCTGAGAGATATATCCAATCTTATAGATTTCTCATGTTTGGTAACTATTTGCTGCAAATGCAACAAAAATCAATATAAAAATATTACCCACACAGTATTCTACAGGTTACTTGTTAGTAGAGACGTTGGTTTATTTTGTGGTTTTTGTGGTGTTATACTAGTAGCTTCGCAGTAAGTGGCTTTAGCGGTAAGTGGGTTTCGTATTGGGTGGGTCTCGCGGGGAGTAGGGCTTTATCGCAGTAACTGGTCCTTTCATCGTTGTTGAGAATTAAAGTGTTATGTTTCTTTAACAACTTGCGCTATTCTGGGAATACCATCCTTAGAGGCTACTAATTTGCCCTTATGATTTGTGCAGTTGCTCTGGCAGGAGTTCAAAAATAAGACCCATGCTCTGATAATGCCAAATATTTGTTAATAATTTTATAAATTGGCTTGGCAATTCCCACCCCAATTAGATATAATGTGTACATATTTTAATAAATAAAATTAAAGATACACTAACAAAAATGAAATATTAATTATTGGCGATCCGCTCCGCTAGGACTGCCCTTATAATCACTTTTCTCGTTTTGTTTATGATTTCTAGTGTTTTCGGGTATTATTTCTTCTGTGTTTGTTTTTGGCTTGGCTGATTTCGCTCAAACTTGGCAGGTAGGTCACACCTTCACCCTAGTTCTAAGGAAAAATCGTGAAAAATATTGGCCCACCATTGCCATAGCAACAGCCAAAAAACTGTTTTGTTTTTTTATAGCTTCGCGCCAAATGTATCTCTTCTTACAAATTTAAGATAAAACACCTAGCTTTTTCTACTCAGCTTGAGTGCGGGCACAAATTTACTATTTGAATTGTTTATATCCTTTTTCATTACCGAGAAAACTGTTCACCGGGAATGGCTTTTGAACTCTACTGTGATTTTTTTTGGTTTGGCTGATTGTGTTCATACTTGACAAGTAGGTCGTACCGTCACTGACTGGAAAAAATCATGGCCCACCACTGTCATTGCAACAGCCAAAAACTGATTTTTGAATACTTTCATTCGAAATTTATTACCTCCTACCAATTTTGTAATAGCAGTGTTCAAATGATCATGTTTTTTATTTTGGCTACTTTGCGCACTATCATATTAATATTACAACAATTCTGTATATTCGCTCTTTAACTTTAGGGCTTGAAATACAAAAGCAGTAAGCCGCATCAAAATATTTGTATCTTCTGATTTCAATAAGTCAATGAACTTATTAAAAGTAGGTTGGTTATAAAAGAAATACGGTAAGTACTTGTTTCTGAGATTTGTAAAAAATGCACAGACTAAAAGAAAATGATATTCATTTTCAATTTGGTTCAAGTCACAGAGAGTACAAACCCTTTGATCTCTTTCCGTTTTTCCTCGGCTAGCTTCAATAAGCAAACAATGGGCTGAGCAACAGAATCTTGATATTTTAAATAGCTTCTATGTTTAAAGATATTAACTGAAAATATATAATGCTCGGGTGTAATTTCAGTTTTGAATTCTCTGTAAGTTTCTAATTTATTCATTGTACATATGTCCCCAACCCATTCACGATGCAAGAAATATTT